TTAGCAATCAGATCTTGTGAGTTTAAGGGAGAACACCGAATACTCAGTGCCAAAATGATAGGACATGTATGACAGGCAGTGTGGATAATTGATATTTTGATCTTGGAAGTGAGAAGGTTAATGTAAAGCAAAACTGAAGGGCAAGATTTCCTTATAACCCCATACATTAATTATGCATAGAGTGTTGCAAAGCAACCTTTATATTTAGTCTTTATGAAATGGAATGCCTAATTAATGTATGGGGTTATATGGAAATCATTCCAACTGAAGGAAACATAATACCAACTGTAGAAGTATTGTCGGATGTACAAAAATTAGAAAACTATTAGCCCACGAGCAATCCCTCATTGTTAGCGTTGCAGGAGGCGAGTCGCTCCGCCTGCGGGAAGATTTGAGACAAGTCAGGGGAGAGGTTTGATGGGGGTCTGGCACTACTAGTGAGGTTAGACTCCTTCCGGTCTCCTCTCGCCAGCTCGGGTCACGGGAGAAAAAAAAGAAACGCTCGATGCGGAGCGCTGATAATGAGGGGGTGCGCAAAAAATATGAATCAAAGATTTGCACCAAACAGAGGGTCCTAAGTTGAAATTGTAAATTGGCCACCGTAAAGATTTAAAAAGCTGACGTTTCGAGCGTTAGCCCTTCGTCATCACTCTGACGATTACCCCCTCAATTCAAATTAAGGTTTATGAATTTGTTTTTCTATATAGGACCTCTACAATTCACATGTGATGTCACAGAACTTACAGTGGGACATGGAAACACAGGTTTGTCACTCACTTTGCTTCGCTTTTATTTATACATGTATTTATTTCTAGTCGAAAAAAGGTCTGAGGTTATTAAAAGTGGAGTTATTTTAAGTTGTAGGTTACACATGAATCCATGTTTTCTTGCAGTCCCAGAGGTTGAAACAAATAAGTGATAAACACATGAAGGAGAAGTACTCCAGTTATTACAAAAAGCTGAAAGTTTTTCAAGATCCTGTTCAAAATCCGGAAAGTGAAGGTAACCGAGGTAGTGTTGTTGATGATCGCCCTGAGAAATAGGTCTGAGATTGTATTGGTTTTGTAATTTGTAAGCATTCCCGAAGGCTCTCGGAAATATTTGCGGAAATATTTGATTGCATAACGTTAACCCTACACTATTAAATTACTATTAGATATCGTATTTGATATAAGCGCTATCGAAGCAGTGTTCTCATGAAATATGATCTTGTGACGCTGCAACACAGATATCAGTTTGGTGTCTGATTTTGAAGTTTGGCGCACAAGGAACAGCCAGTCATAAGTCAGTCATCAGCATCAGTGTTATCTATGATCTGTGTACATGAGAATATAATTTTCCTTTTTGAATAAGAGTCTAAAGATAAAAATCGGTATGCTGTTTGCTAAGAAAGTTACAGATAATGTTAATAAACTAACTGGCATATATAAGCGCAAAACACTATCGTTTATTTATGTTACTCTAAATGATATCCATGCTGTTTTTGAAGAAAATCTGTTTGATTTCAGGTTCCAGGCAATCCAAGGTAAAGGTATCTATGCCATTTTATTCTTTTACAGTGGAAAAAGGGTTGACGAAGTGTAAATGACTGTGTGCGTTAAGTGGTGCGTTTTCTCAACTCTCTTTCTGAAAATCTAAGGGTTGAATTTTTCTTGAATTCATCTCCTTCAAGATTTGTGAGAGGCAGACGGTTAAAATTGATAGGGTGGTAACAGCGATTCAAAACTGCGCGCTGAAGTAGAGACAAGACTTTCTGCGCGCTAGCCTGTGTTTGTCAAGCGCGAGAGGCGTGAGAGACGCGAGAAGCGCGAGAGGCGTGAGAGACGCGAGAAGCGCGAGAGGCGTGAGACGTGAGGTGATCGTTTTAAGATTTGTAAAACCTTCTAGTTTTACTAGTAGTTAATTAATTAATATCGTTATATAAGTTGTTCATTATTTAAATTTAGTTGGTAGATTATTCTGATAATTAATTTGATCAATACGTTTTATTACTTTTAATTGTAGAACGGCCATTATGAAAACTACCGGGTGACCATTAATCAATGTGTTTTACCCTCGTTAAATAAAGGTGTCTTCTTCTTCATCGTAAGTCGTGCGAGGGCTTTTTTCTCCGAGCCTGCCGTGGTATTTATTAAGGAGGAAGGGGGCATGTGAAGTTTAACCAGCTACTCCACTGTTCTAAATGCCTGTTAGTAATTTTCTCTCGTGCCCTCTCTCTCTGTGTTCATTACCCCAGAGCCAATCGTTTTCACTGTTCTAAATGCGTGTTAATAATTTTCTCTCGTGCCCTCTCTCTCTGTGTTCATTACCCCAGAGCCAATCGTTTTCACTGTTCTAAATGCGTGTTAATAATTTTCTCTCGTGCCATCTCTCTCTGTGTTCATTACCCCAGAGCCAATCGTTTTCACTTATCTTTTCTCCAACCACGTGACCGAAAGAAACGAGGGCTTAGGTTGCTGAACACAGTTTTTGATACCTGTGTTTCTTTCACCATTTTCTCGAACTCCCTTGATCTCTCGGTCGCCAAAACTGGCAGCAAGCTAGTTAACAACACAAACTTTGTTTTTTGATAGTTGAGCTGACGTATGTGCCGTTGCCATGGCGACATGAATAAATATGAACATGCCTTCAAAATTGGTTTTGTGTATTTTTAGAAAATCTAGTCATTAGATTTTCTTTATAATTTGCATGCAACGAGCTTGTAAGGATACTCACAAGTTAACACCATTTTGCTAACAATTTAACAGAGAGATCTTTAAGTATCCCTTGTTGAAGGTTCACTTGATTATCTGGAATTTCCTTTGTTAAAAATAAATTTTTTTCAATACTCCAGTTACTTATTTCCTAAAGTATTTTCGTGTGTGGTTCTCTAGAAATAGGGATATTTCCGAGAAAGCAATTTTTTACTTACTACGCATGCGCTGTATATAACTAAGTTCTTTCGGTAACGACGAAAAAGCTGAGAATTTCTGGGTTCTTTGTACCGTTAACTTTAGGTAAATAAAATGATCGCCCTATTGACAGCATGTTTGGTTTTTGCAATCCTTGTGCGCGCGCAGAATAGCCCATTTCCGAATTACCCCTGGCCTCATTTCAAAACGAGTCCTGGTGCCCATCCTTTCATATGATAAGTTTTTATTCACATGCAAATTAAACTAATTTTCACAAGAATAGTTGAGCACCAGGCCTCGTTTTGAAAATGAGGCCAAGGGTAATTCGGAAATGGGCCAGTCAGCTTTTTCGTCGTTACCGAAAGAACCCAGTTAAATGCAGCGCATGCGTAGTAAGTAAAAAAATTGCGATTGGATCGAAAATTACTCTTCCGGAAATATGCCTATTTCTCGAGAACCACTCATTTGAATTTCACGAAATTTGGCACAAAAATACTTCACGAAATAAGTAACTAGATTATTGAAAAAAAAATTTAATAAAGGTTAAATGTTCAGCAAGAAACCGTGGACGATAATCGTACCTACTTTTGTACGATGGATCAGCAGTGATCTAATCGGCCCAAAGTAACGAATATAAAATATAGAGGCAAGACCGATACAACGTAGATAACTTTAACGGAGCACTATATTTCGGCTGGCCAAACCAGCCTTCTTCGGGTGCAGTGCAGTTCACTTATCTACGTTAATAAGGGAAATTCTAGATAATCGAGTGAACCTTCAACAAGGAATGATTAAAGATCTCTCAGTTAAATTGTTAGCAAAATGTTGTTAACTTGTGAGTATCGTTACAAGCTCGTTGCATGCAAATTATAAAGAAAATCTAATGACTAGATTTTCTACAAATAAAGAAAACCGATTTTAAAGGCCTGTTTATAGCGGGGCTCCCACGCGCGCGAAGCGCGCGTGGAGCAGAGCCCCATACCTATGGAATATGGTCAACCTCTTTTCGTTTGGTTGTCACATGACTGACCGAGCGTACGTACGTACTGCCTTCAGATTGCACGGGTAGGGTAGGGGAGACTATCAAAACGAAGGGAGGGGTGACTCAGGCGAGTCTTGGCAAATGCACGTCTTTTATGATATCATTAATATTACGAACTTGGGAGCTCCGCTTTTAGGCTTTGCTAAATCTATATATTATTTAGTCATGTCGCCATGGCAACGGCACCTACGTCAGCTTAACTATCGAAAAAACAAAGTATGTGTTGTTAACTTGCTTTCTGCCAGTTTTGGCGACCGAGAGATCAAGGGTTTTAGAGAAGATGGTGAAAAAAACACAGGTATCAAAAACTGTGTTCAGCCACCTAAAGGTGGCTCGTACCGGTTTTNCGAGGAAACTGGTACGAGCCACCTTAAGAGAGAGAATGATCCCTCTCGCTTTCGGGGCAGGGAATAGAGAGAGCCTGGAAGCGAAGTTGAATGACAGTATTCTAATCAATGTTTGAATTCTTCATCTATCAGGAGATGCCAGAAACCAGTACAACTGCGGTCAAACCAGCAGATTCCGACCCAGTAGAACTTGTCATCACACCACGAAAACAAGTTCCGAAATTAGATTCAATATACGACACATTAATGGAGAGATTGCAGAAAACAGACACCCTGTTAGATTTTGGCGAGGTCCGAGTTCAGGAGTTTGGTTCATCAATGCCATCTAACGTCAGTGGTGGTCACTCACTGACAACCCAAAAGTTGCGTGTAGAACAAGTGACTCCTCAGAGGTTTGGAGTGACAGGGAAGGTTCGACTTCAAAGACTGGGTTCCCTAAGGTCAACTCAACCGAAGGAGACTGGTGATTCAGAGAAACAAGACGAAGTTGAACAATTGCTGGAGAAACTTCAAGAAGCGAAATTTGTAGCGAGTGGTAAAAAGGGTTTTTTAAATCCAAAAGCCTTCGTTTTCGCCAAGTGATGATATCGTTTTTGACTGGACAGAACCACGTACAGGTTACGAATTACGAAGGTGGGGTTGCGGGGCTTTGGAGGCCGCGAGTTTGCCGGATCAAACCGGGCTTATTGTCGGTCAGAACAATTTTCAAGGTTCCTGTCAGTATTACATTTGTGCGCTCTTTGATTGGTCAAAAAGACTCGCGTTCCCATTTTTTAACCAGTCAGTCATTCTTGTTTTCCCGCGCTCCAATCAGTTGCCGTCTTCTGTTTCTGATTGGCCGGTGTAAATACTTTTCTTTCGGTCAGTTTTACGTCACACTCGAATTCGCACCATCTTGAAACAGAAACATTTGGAGGTACAGAATCTTACTTTACGGTACAAGAATTTTAACCCTCATTATGAGAATGACCCAATTTGATAAATACTGCTAAAGATTCAGAGAAAAGAACGTCTCTTCATTTTCTCTTGTATAGATCTATCACCTTGAGAAAATGTATATATAAAAATATATAAAAATTTATCAGAAACACCAGGAAACACAACTGAGTTTCTAAGTTAAATGTGTATATTTTTTCAGAAAATTACTGTTTTCGCAAACTGTCAAATTGTATTTTAAATTGTATCACAACTCATAAAAATATCAATTCACTTAAATTTTTGATGCGCAAGATATAAAGACAAATTGTACTAGTTTGACTAATCATAATCCACCTTTTTTGGCTTATCTCTAACTATGATGCTGATGCAACTGAGCTACTCGAGTTTTTAGGGTGGAAAAATCCTGCACGCCAGCAGGAAATCCATAAAGCCACCATGATGTTTAGATGTCTGCACGGGCTAGCTCCAAGGTATCTATATTCAAAGTTTACGTGGCGTGACTCTGCTTATGACCTCAGGGACTCTGAAAATAAGCTTAATGTTCCACTACCGCGCACTAATTATTACAGAAAAAGCTTTAGCTACAATGGCGCCACATTATGGAACAGTTTACCACGCGATATAAGGAACACAGAGTCTCTGGGGTTATTTAAACGTAAGATCAATGACATTCTTTAAGTCTAACGCACGGCATTCACGGAAAACAGCTTTAGTGTTATAGTATGTAGTTTTAATTTTAAATATCTTAGCGTATGTAATATGTATTTTTATAGGCTGATGAATTGATCGTGTCTAAATAAAGATTACAATACAATACATTACCCATTGCAGAAGCAGGTGCAATAGCATAATACTCTTGGGAAATCATTTCCAAAGTCTAGAAGCTATTTTGAATTAGCGTCGTACGCGCGTGAGGGTTGCGCTGATAAACTGCGTCAATTATCCTTTCAACATGTTCAGAGCCGTGGTAAGACCCCTTTAAAGTTTCTCACCATACTAATAGTCTGACGGGTAGAGTCACTAACGAGTCAACTCGCCGAAAAGTCTACTTGCCTCAAAAAGCAACTTGAAATAGAAAAGTCTACTGAATAAATACCCTTTGCTACTTTACCGCTGTCCTCAGAATCAAACGAACCGTCTCACTATCCTAATCGACTAAACGCCACAGCGTATTCAAGAGCGGCTTTTCTTGAGGGTGGCATTCGTTGTAAATTCATATTTCTGAAATCACTGACATCACAGTCTTGCATATCAAGTAAACTATAAACATGTTTAAATGTGCGGTAATGTTGGTTTTTTTGGTTTTTTTGGTTTTTGGTCTTTTTTGTTGTTGTTGTTGTTCAAAACTTCCAAGGGCCGTTCCTTGATAGGTTAACGATGGTTCAGACCATTGAATGTAGTGCCTTACCAGGAGCTTTTAACTGACAGTGGCTGTTCGTTTATTTTATCCTATGATATTCCATAAAGGGCCGTTTTCTTATCATTGGACGGGGCGTCCATTCGCGAGCCGCTTTTCTTGTCGCTTCTTTGTGCCGGGTTATATCGAGGATGACGGTAGTGAGCAACTGATCCTGATACAATCTCCATCCCCATTCCCCCGCGGCGCTAACATATCGAAAACTGATTAAAAAAAAAAAAGGAAATGAATTTCGAACTTTCAGAGAATATTAAATCAGCAATTCAGCAGATCATCAAATCAGCAAATCAGCAAATCAGCAATTCAGAGAATATTAAATCAGCAAAATATTGTAAGATAACTTGCTTAGTACCATAAACTTTATTTCCGCTCCGAAAGGCATTAATTATAGTTCTTGCCTTACCTCCTAACCCTTCCGGTGCGTAACAGAAACCGTTCCACAATTTTTGACCAATCAGGAAAGAGATCACTGTAAACGTTCGAAATTCAAATTTTTTGTCGTATGGATGCTTCGCCGATCATTCGCTCGATGTGAAAAGACAACACTTAGAACGACCAGGAAAGAATTTAGAGCGTATTTCAAAGTAAAAAAAAAAAATGGTTCAAAACTCGGACAACTGTCTTCGTCGTAAACGACCTTCAACTTGTAGGCGATCGCAAATTAACGGTGGGAAAGAAAAAAATAACAATATGAAGGTTGTTGTGCGAGTAAGGCCTGCGAACGAGATGGAACTCTTCAAACAAACTTCCACGGCTGTTCGTGTTATGGACGAAAGAATGCTGGTTTTTGATCCAAAAGATGACTCTGTAGACTATCTGTCTGGCGATCGACCCCGAAGGCAACCACGATTCTTGACGCGAAGAGCGAGGGATTTGAGATTTATGTTTGATCGAGTGTTCGATTATGAGTCCAGTAACCGTGAGGTCTTCGAACACACAACTAAAACGATCGTAGATGGAATTCTTGGTGGTTACAACTGCACTGTGTTCGCCTACGGAGCGACAGGAGCAGGAAAAACATTCACAATGTTAGGAGATCAATCTAATCCTGGAGTGATGTTTCTGACGATGATGGAATTGTACAGCAGAATCAACGCTTGCAAGGACGACAAGGTCTCGGACGTAGCTGTCTCGTATCTTGAGGTATGAACATGACTCTTCCGTGTTCAGAAGGACCGATTCTTTAAAAGAAAGGCGAATTTTGTATGCGGCTTTGATGATATTATTTCTTTCAGAAACATTTACTCGATTTCATGAAAAATTGATCATGTGGAAGGTCTTTGGGAAGTTTGCAGTTGATTTTGATTCGTCTTTTACTGGAGAAGAATAGCTAGGTTTATCTCTAGCTCGACTTCATTTAGTCCCCGAAGTTTTTCTGTCTTCTCAAGCGAACGTAAACCTCTAATTACGTTAAAGTAGGCCAGCCTTTACGGCTTCCTGTACCCTTGAGTTTCCTTGTTGGATAGCGTCGTATTCAAGATCCACAGTCCCACATGTATGTGTATGTTACGAGATAAATCTTTCAAACTTTCTCAGGCACTTTTCCCATGTCTGTAGGCTATAAAGGGTTCCCCTAAACGGTAGGTTAAGAAATTCACTGAGTTGTGGCCAGAAAAGCATCTCAGAGTTGGAAAACTTTTCTGCCAACAATACTACTTAATAATTTGTCACTGCGAGACCTTGGCAAGAAGAGGAGGTAATGAGGGCAGGGATCGATTCTCGCCTGCATTTTTTCCCCATTCCATTATGCTGAGATCCAAGTTAGACTACACAGGCATGGGCAGGATTTTCACTTTTGAGGTTGAGGT